ATCAAACATATCTTTATATATATATATTCATTTGTTTATTAAATAAACATAAAAATTTTATTCATATTTATTGTTTAACTTAATAAACGTAGATTTTCACGAACAGATTATCGAATAGTTTCTTTCCTTACACGTCTAATTTATTATTAAAGAAAGGATTTTTGAGACGTGGGTTGCACGTTTAAACAACGGAGGAGTGTCGAGGAGTTGTGGGATATTGGCGTGATCTCTGATTCAGCCAAATAATTCATGTAAGAAAAGGGGCCACCACCACTCAATCAGTTCACACTTATGTTTGATCAAATGTGCTATAGCTGTTAAACGTCTATGCACATGCATACCGACTTTGGTTTCTCGTTTGTTTCGTCTGTCATTTCCCTTTGGAATTTCTTTGGCAAATTTCCAACACATCATTAATACATCTATATGATAGGGTTTGGGTTTAGATTGACTTGATTAGTTAAAGCTGTTTATCATTTGAATTCATTTAAATCTGATAAATTTTTATTTGTGGATAATTATTTTAATATATTAACAGTAGTTTTTTCACAAGTAAATAGAATTAATAAAATCATTAATCATAATTGATATTTAATAAATAAATTAAACAAACTAATTACTTTCTAGCACTTATCATTTTTTTTAAAATACTATAAACATGTTAAATAATATTAATCCATAAATCTATTGAGTGGTTTTAGTGATAAAAAAATATTATTTTTTAAATGTATCATGTTCGAACAACATCACACACTATTAAAAATAAAAATAAAATATTTATTAAATTACTAATAATTCTTTTTAAATCATAGTTTAATTGATCATTGTCCAATGACACTCATATGTATATATGGCCTCTTTTTTCCTTTGACATTTTAGGAAGTAAGAAGCTACTTATTTAGCTTTATGAGTGAAAAGTTTTATAAAATAGTGAATTCACACTTAGAAACTTGCGAAAGATATTACAGAGACAAAATGGTAGGTCCAAATTTAATGTGAATACAAAAAGTAAACTTTTGGTCAAAATGGGCATCGAAATATTCCAGAGTTGAGTGTATGAGACAAGGGTCAAGATTTCTTTTAATATTTTTCCGTTTATTATTAGTTGATATAAACTTAAGTTCGTTTATTATTATGTATAAATATGATTTATATAATTTATAACTAAATCTTCAACATACATAAAATAATAATTAAAATATTAAAAAGTACGAATAAAATAATAATGATATGAATCTCAATTCAAACGACAATATTGCTCTGAAAATATCAGGTAGAAATAACTTTTAGGGTGCGTTTGGTTCACGGAATGTAAGATTACCAGTGAGAATGTAAAATTACCAGGGAATAGGATTACTGGAAATGTTGTATTTTGTGTTTGGTTGGCTTAGCAAGAATATAAGATTACCGTGTTTGGTTAAAAGAATAAAATATTATTTGAATGTATATTTGACCAAATTGTCCTTATTATATATATTTTTTTAACAAGTTGGAAAATATTTATACATTTTATTTAAAAAAAATTAAATTCATAAAATTTATTTAATTTTTTTTACAAAAATTAAAATATAAAAAAGGTTTAATGAAAAAATAAATTTTTTATTTTAACCCCTGAACTTCATATAAAATTTTAATTATAGATTTTTTTGTAAATCTAAAATAATTTAAGGATAAATTTGTAATTTAACATTCGTAGAATTTTTATTATTCAATGACATAAGAATGATATTTTTGGGGGGAAAATTAAGAGCATTTTAGTCCAAAACGTTAGTAATCTAACAATACCTAAGGAAAGGGAGGTAATGACATTCCCGGTAATATACCTAAAAAAATCCACTATTGGTAATTTTACATTACCGGGAATGAGATTCTCGGGCTAACCCACCAAACGGGGAATGTAGATTTCATTCCCATGAGAATCCCATATTCCCCATCCAAACACCTTAGGATTTATATACCCTTTTCCCACCTTTTGTCCTTTATTGGGTGACGCTTCAATGACAGGTGGTTGGTCTATTTCGTCTATTGTCCTTAGGGTGCGTTTGGTTGGTTTATTTTATCTATTGTTTTTAGGGTTGTATTGATTGACGAGATGTGATATTATTTTTTGTTGGAAGCTACAACCCAATCAAGAAATTGTTGGAAGCTCTCCTAATTTAGAATTTGTTGGAAGCTCCCCTAATTCTTCCTTTTTTAAAAATGTTTTTGTTTAGCAATTAGGTTTTTAGTCAATTTAATTGAAATTAATTAACATTTACCGACTGTATCTCTCCACCCTTTTACACAAATGTCAACATGAAAATAATATCATCATTATCTATCAAAAAATTAATTAAAATTTCATTAACAAAGATTCAAGGACATTCAACCAGTTAAATTTATTCTATTTAATATTGGAGTGTTTGGTTTTAATTATTAATTGTATATTTATTATATGATTTATGTTTGAAATTTATAAGTGTTTTTTTACGGTCATGCAATATTTTATGTTTGACTTTGTTTAGTTTCAAAGACTTATCCTTGATTTGTCGAGGATGGATAATTATATGTTTGACATTTTTGACAATCCACGTGCTTTTGTTTGTTTTCCTATTTCATTCCCATTTTAAAGTTTGATTTTGACTTTAATTCTTAAAAGTGATTTCAATGATAAAAGAACGTTTAGAAAAGTAGATTATTTCTTAATAAAGGGGGCCTCGAGTGCTTCAGACCTCGTATCTCTATAATTTTTGAATTTAAATAGTTGTTTGATTGTATTTGAAGAGTGTGTGTACGTTATTAGCTGCTTAATTTTTTTTAATAAATATTATTTTGTAATCTCCACATATTATTAAAAAATGATTTTGATTTTTTGTTTATTTAGTATATAAAAGAATTAAAGTTTAGAAATTAAACGCTCGAATTTCAATTTTGTCAAACAATGATGAAATGTGATAACAAGTAAATGTTTTTATTAGTATTTTAAAAGTTCCGTTCACAGTAGAATTAATTTTGTACTAATCCTCCTTTACAAATAAAAAAGCCGAAGTCAATTATCAACCATTTTTGGATTAATAATAAATATATAATATTAGATGTAATAAAAAAAATATTATTTGATATATAAGTTTTGTAAAATTTATTTTGTATAACAAGATTATTTTTTAGAAGTATTCAATCAATCACTAAATCAAATTAGTCAAAATCAAAATTAATTTTTTCTTTAACCGTTAATTAAGTATAAGTTTTTACATAATTATTAATCAAACTGAACAAAATGTGACTATTTCGATCAATTTTTGAATTAACCAAAATTTATTATAAGTTTTTTAGTTAATTTAAGTTGGGTTTAATAGAAGTGGTTTTTTAGTTAGGTTAAAATTTGATTGAGTCATGAAGGTTTGATGAGTTTAGTGTAGTTAAAAAATAATTGACTTTTGATTCTTAGCGGGGTTGGACTTAAAATATATATGTAATATAAATAATATATTAAATTTTTAATATTTGCGGTACTTCAGTTAATTCAATTAATTAATCAATTTAGAATTGAATTAGTTAAACTGCAAACAACTTCTTAATTGTTAATCGAACTAAATTTTAATTCGGTTTATTAATACAATTAAAACTCAATAATAAACACCCCTACTTATTTTAATCACAAATCTTAAATTCTAAACTTTAAATAATAGATTCTAAACTCAACACCTATTGCGGCGTTTTTAGGACAAACGCCGCTAAATATCAAAGTCTATTGTGAACAAACGCCTCTATATATCGATACATATTGCAGCGTTTTTTAACCCCAAACGCCGCAAACTTTAACGGCATTATTTTCAGCGGTGCTTTTTGCAACGTTTGTAATATCGTCGCATATGTTTTTAGCGGCGCTTAAAAACGCCGAAAAAAACCATTTTTATTGTAGTGTCCTCACATGGCACGTATCGAAAATTTAATCTCCATTCTCACCGAAGCATAGCAGCAATATGCGGAATCATTGAAGACCTAATCTCCATATCCGCACCTCGAACAAGGAGGTTGAACACAACTTTACTATCGGTTTCACCGACCACATCCTTGTACTCTTGATCCCAAACCAATGAAAATCCCTCATACACTCCCCACAACTTTACTATCGGAATCATACGACGGCTGACCCGAGTCAGCTGGTTTTCCAGTCATACAATATTAATCTCTATCGCATGATGTGCCTCCGCTTGAAGGCGATAGCCATCGCTTAACACACTGCAAATTTATCGAAACTCCAGTTCAAAGAGCAGCCTATTACGTCGACTCCAAAGACTCCAAAGGATCGAGCCAAACAATAAGTCTCAGTCCTCATGAACAAGAGGGAAATATGTAGGCTTATGTAAATTTAATTGCACCCAGTCCCCCATCTGCATATTCATTATTGACATATTATATCCATTTTCTCATAATTTTCATATAATTTAATAAATTTAATTCTTGTGTCTCCATTTAATTAAAAGATTAAATTTAGTAAATTAAAATAAAATTAGGATTAAATGAATAAAATGTGTAATATATCTAACAAAATTAAGACCAAATGGTCCAAATATATAAATATAGAGGTTAAATTATTATTTTATCTAAAGTTTAAGAGTTAAATTAATGTTTTATCTGAAATTTAAAAATTAAATTGATTTTTTATCTAATATTTAAAGGTTAGATTAATATTTTATCCAAAATTTAAAGAATAAATTTAAAATTAAACATTTTTCATAACATATTGCATCATAAAATTAACAGATTTAATATCTTAGTGATCAAAACGTTATACTCTAAATGATAATATAAGTGATTAAAATATTATAAAATAATAATATAAATGAAAAAAAGTTTTTTTTTTAATTTTTAAATCGTAAAAAAAACAAAATCTATCAAACGAAATTAACCAGTTAGTTTACCCAACCCAAATCAAGAGTTGGTGTGTGCATACGTCATAGCAAACGCCAAGTTTTACCCCTCTTGACACTTCTCACGCATTTGTCGTGTCTCGTTTCCAGACCTCTCCCATTACCACAGGCAAGAAAAAAGACCCAAACTTTAGTTTCTTCTCTGAACTTTCCTTCTCTCTGTTTTTCTATTTCATCCTTAGTTCCTGCTAAGAATTTAGCTACCTAAGTGTGTAGCCTGACCGATCAAACCAACCCAAAACTTCCATGTAAGAGAAACAAATTCCAAATCCGAATAGAGTCGTTCTCCAGTTTCCTTCTTTTAAGGATCCCAGAAATTACCTTTGCTTGTTGAATTGTAAAACTTTTAGCTCTTATAAAAGAGAAGAAAGAAGAAGAAGAAAAAGTGTTTTCTGTTTCTTTTGAAGTGTTCGTTTCTCTCTGATGGGCAACTGCTTGTTTTATTCAACTAGAATCGATTCCAGCCAAAGCCCCCAAGCAACTTCTGGTATTCATTTCTTTTCTATTGATGGGTATTAGTTGTCTTGATGGATTATTATTTTTCTGAAGTTTTCTTAAAGGTCTTTTAGCTTACAGGTTTAAACTATTTTGTTGAATTTGACTTTCTGATTTTGATAACCCTGGTTTTTAGTTCTGGTTCAATGTGTGGTTCTTGAGATTTCTTCAATTTCGTGAGTTTTGAGTGTGAGGGATTGTGTTAGGAATAAATCTAGATCACTTGAAACTATCCTTTGATTTTTGAAAGCGCACTTTTTCCAATCAAATTGAGTTTCAATTTGCAAAACTTGAAGAAAGTGTGAGCTTGAATGGCAATTTTCTCTGTCATGAACTTTGGCTTGCTCATATATACATGAATATGCAGCGTTCTTGTGGGAAACAAAAGGATGTATGAATTTATGTTTTTTGAAGGAAAGGAGAAGTGGTAGACATAGGAAGTTGGGAACAATTGGCAGTTTAAGTTTGAATGTCTCTTGCATTTGATATTTCGCTATGTTATCTATTTTATAACCGGACCTTAAGAACTTATTTTTCTCTTTCAGCATCAGGAGGCTCTAGAGTTTCTAGCAAAACCACTCGTTCGAGCTTGACCATCCCATCTTTCAGTGATACAAGTAGTAGTAATGGGTGTCTTCCAACGCCAAGGACCGAAGAAGAAATATTGGCATCTCCCAATTTGAAACCTTTCTCGTTCAGTGAGTTGAAGAATGCCACCAGAAACTTTCGTCCCGACAGTCTTCTTGGTGAAGGTGGCTTTGGGTATGTCTTTAAAGGATGGATTGATGAGCACACATTAGCTGCTGCTAGACCTGGCTCAGGAATGGTTATTGCTGTCAAGAAACTTAAACCCGAAGGTTTCCAAGGCCACAAAGAGTGGCTGGTATGTTTCGTCTTTATCATTTTTGATTCCTTCTGCTTTGCCTCTCCCAGTTTTTGTTTGTCCTTGTGCCCTATTTGCTGATACATTGTTGGTTTCAGACCGAAGTTGATTATCTCGGGCAACTTCACCACCCGAATCTAGTTAAGTTGATTGGATATTGTTCAGAGGGTGAATACCGTCTTTTGGTCTATGAGTTCATGCCTAAAGGAAGCTTAGAGAATCATCTTTTTAGACGTAAGTATCACAAACTATGATTTTTTTTCAGAGAATCATTTTTTGAAAAGTATTACGTCCATGAACTGATAAGGCAATTTGGAATCCAGTTTTGTTGCATTAAGTCATTGTTCTCTGGAAACAATCCTCACCCTCAAATGGTCGCCATGAAAACTTAAAAAGGGAATTCGAATCTTTTCTTTTTTTTAATATTTTAGTTTCAAGGAGAATCTCAAAATATAGAAATATTCTGTTTCATTTTTTCTTTAACAGCATGCATGTTCTGACGGGATAAAGCTACATGGATAGAATTTGGAAATATTCACGAGCCTGAAAAAGGGTTACTCACCATACACTATTGCTTCTTAAACAACTGAACAATGGAGCAGCTATATATATTGGAACTACCAAGTAGTTCTTTTTTTTTTTTAACTTTTGATGCTATGTCTTGTTATGCAGGAGGGCCGCAGCCACTATCTTGGGCGGTGAGGCTTAAGGTCGCCATAGGTGCTGCTAGAGGGCTCTCTTTTCTTCACGATTTGAAATCGCAAGTCATATACCGTGATTTTAAAGCTTCAAACATTCTACTAGATGCGGTATGCTGAATAAAGAAAAATAATAATTTTATGCATTTTCAATATTTTGTCTAAATTGTTTGTATTAGAAAATTTTATATATTGCTGACATAATATTCTATTGGATGCAGGAATTCAACGCAAAACTTTCGGATTTTGGATTGGCCAAGGCAGGGCCTACTGGTGATAGGACTCATGTATCGACTCAGGTTATGGGTACTCAAGGCTATGCAGCACCTGAATACGTTGCTACAGGTACGAGTCCTATAATGAACCTAGAAGGTACCTATTTCGTTCGTTAATAATGAAAACTTCTAATCACTGACCTGGAAACTTGTTGGGTTGAGCTTGAAAATTCGTCCGCGACTAGTTCTCACAACTTTCTTACACCCCCGGGTTTCATCTTTGTTAGAGGGGAAAATGTACCAGATAGTTGCCATAAAAGCGTAATATCTGTTTCGTCTTTTATATGCAATGCATTTGGTCCAAATGTAGGATATTTGCACTAAGCAACTATTTTCTGGGTTCTATCTTCAGTGTGCAAAATGCTTGTCGGAAGGCACTCCGATGTAATATGTTGTCAGAAGTTATGTGTAACAAAGTTTCCATTGTTGAGCAGGTCGGTTGACGGCTAAGAGTGATGTATACAGCTTTGGAGTTGTTTTACTTGAACTATTGTCTGGTCGACGAGCTGTTGATAAAACAAAAGTCGGTGTGGAGCAGAGTCTAGTAGACTGGGCAAAACCATATCTGGGTGACAAAAGAAAACTATTTCGAATCATGGACACCAGGTTGGGCGGCCAGTACCCTCAGAAAGGCGCCTATACCGCAGCTACTCTTGCTTTACAGTGCCTAAATAGCGAAGCTAAACTCAGGCCTCGAATGTCGGAAGTTTTGGCAGCACTGGAGCAACTAGAAGCCCCCAAAACTGCTTTGAAACACTATCAACCGGAACAGCACCCGGTTGCACTTCCTGTTCGGAGATCCCCAAAGCGACAGCATCACTCACCTATGCATCTAACACCCAATGCATCTCCATTACCATCTCACAACAGGCAGTCTCCACGAGTACATTGAATCCATCTGTAAATTTTCTTACTGTATTCATATATTTTCTTATTGCTTATGATAAAGTTTTTGAGCGTGTATTTTTTTTAATGCAATTATGCATTTCATATAAAAAAACACCTTTTGTTGTAATGAGGTATTGTCATTAGTGTATTTGTGCCTTGTTTTCAATGATGCATATTATTAATCTTTAACCTTCTGTCATTACTGTCTCTTAATCTATGAAATGCCCTTTTCATCGGATGAAAAACAATGGCCAAAGAAACGACGAACCAAAACCAAATCACAGAAAAAATCAAGTAAATTCATTCACAGAGTTTTTGGGAATTACAAAATATCCATATGATGAATAAGAAACAAATAAAACCATCTAAGTTGGCATCTCAAATCGGAAGTTGTTCTCAACCTGGCGTTGGGGGAGTCTACTATCCTACATTCCCTTTACACCATTACATATGAGAATCCCTTACACCATTACATATGGGAATAGGCCCAGCTAATTTAAGTTGGCATCTCAAATCGGCAAAGAGGACAGTAATGACTTTCTTTCAACCACTCATTGATGCAGTGATCGTGAAAACTATGGAAGCAAGGCATCTGAGAAGCTGTTGAACCAACCTCGATTTCCTCGAGACATGTGACGCATTCTTCGCCCTTCACTCGCCTCTTTTTCCTACTTCCTTCGTATTCATCTTCCTCTTCGACTCGAACCCTTTTCAACATCTTCTTCACCGACGATTCATTCGCTGGAACCAATGCCGTTGTTTCCCTGCAATGCCGAGTCCACCAAAGCTCTCTTTAGCGAATCCCTTTCCCGGATGACGTGTTGAGTAACTTTGTCGATAACATCAACGCTTAAAGGCAGTACCTCACGTCCCATGTTGGAATCACACTTCCCGATTGTGACTGCATGCTGGATAATCTTATCAACGACCATGCCAAATTCAAGAGATGTTGGGTCGACTGGAAATCTCCTTAACATGTCGGTAATGATGTCGTGACCCTGTTTCTGGTGTTTCAAAATATGGATATTGAATCGTTGTTCAGGAAAATGAATCAGATTTTCAGTAAAACGATCATGTAAAGTCATGAAGGCAGATTACACGATCAAAGATGATGGTGACTTCGATTTGAACGGAATGACGAATAGGGTATTTTACTGGTATTGTATGGGGTTGGTAAACTTCAAGAAGGTGCATGCCATCAGGCAGCTGAAAGAATGAAGCCATGGAAGAGAGTAAGCTTGTAGGTCAAAAGATTTCATTGATGCATTTTTTACGTTGAGGGTTTAAATGTAATTTTGATGAAAATGCTAGGTTAAATCTTTTAAAAAAATTCCAAGGCAAAACTACTTATCAAGTCCAAAAAGATAAAAATTATTTGCACAAAATAAAACCATAAAAGCTAAGAAGTATACAAATAATTCAACATCTTTTTAAATATTTTTAGTCATATAAATGTATATATTATGCGTTTAATATTCACGCTGTCAAATTTTTATGAAACTTCAATTGGAGAATAAACTTTCTTTAATATAATAAATATTACCCATTTCCAGTGAAGCAATTTGATTAAAATAATAAATTCAAAAATATAAATTTAAAATATAATTCGTTATTGAAGAATTGAAATTGAGAGAAAAATAATAAATTTAATATCTGTATAATTAAAATGTGTATTTAGGATTATGGTGAATTTAGAAATTAAAGAATAGGAGTTTAAAATTTTAATATATATATATATATATATATTTTAAAAATATAGATATACAAATTTTCTTATTTTTTCCCATTCCTCTTTATATACTAAACTGAATTTAAAAAATTTCCAGAAATATATATATACAGTCTCCTCTTGGAATTTGCATGCATCCACCTCTGCTTAAGATTTTAGCATATGAATTTCTCTTGTCTGTTTATAATTTTTATTATTTAATTTTTTTAATATAAATTTGTGTTTTTATTTTATGATCTTATTTGTCTATAACCATTGTCTTCTTAACAAATTAGAATTTAATAATCCTGATAAACAGAGTAATTAATATTCCAAGAGAAGATATTATACTTTAATCCGAGAGAGATGGATTTTAAGAAGCTCGATCAATGGCATTCATTCAAGGGTATTAGCCCACGAACAATAAACAAACATAAAATCTAAAAACGGTATCCATTACGTTTCGGTTGATGTTATTTTCAAGCATTTTGAAAAAAAAAAATATGGAGCTTAAAGTCAAACAGAAAAGTCCAACCCAAAGTTGAAAAACATTGAATTAGTTGACAGGAGATAGAGCAGGAGTTTGACAAGTATTTGTTTTGCACAGGGGATTACCAAGAAACAAGTTCAGATCGATGGAGCTACCAAGAAAGCATATCAACTCTTTTTTTCCTGGTTTTGGTTCTTCCCTCATGCTTCAACTTGCTGGTTTAGCAACAGCAAGCCATGTAGTTAGAGGAAACGACACTGATCAACAAGCCTTACTACACTTCAAATCCAAGATAACTGGTGATCAGCTCAGGATTATGGACTCCTGGAATAGTTCCATTCACTTCTGTCAGTGGCGTGGCGTTACATGCGGTCGTGGTCGTGAGCATCAGAGAGTCACCAAGTTGGAACTTCAATACCTCAAACTCTCGGGCTCTTTATCCCCATACGTTGGAAATCTGAGCTTTCTCACAGAGCTGAATCTTACGGGGAACAGCTTCTACAGTCAAATTCCTCAAGAAATCGGTCGTTTAAGAAGATTGGAGGTATTAAGACTGACCAATAACTCCATTAGTGGTGAAATTCCTTCTAATTTATCTGCTTGTTCTAAGCTTACATTTGTTAACATGAGAGGTAACCAACTAAGAGGAGAAATACCTGCTTCGTTGGGTTTCTTGTCAAACCTGAAACTGATGAGTTTTAGCAACAACAGTTTGAGAGGGAGTATCCCACCTTCTTTAGGGAACTTGTCATCCCTGCAGGAACTCACTTTGTCCATTAATCAATTGACTGGGATCCTACCTGAAGCTCTTGGAAGACTCACAAATCTTTCATATTTCACGGTAGGGTCAAATGGAATTTCTGGTATTCTTCCTATTTCCATGTTCAATCTCTCCAATGTTCAAGTCTTTGATATTACTGGGAACATGATTCAAGGTACTCTTTCTTCTGACTTACCAATTACTATGCCAAATGTCGAGTTCTTTTCAATAGGGGGAAATCAAATATCTGGAACAATCCCGATTTCAATATCGAATGCTACAAATCTGAATGTACTTCAATTTGCTGAAAATAGACTTAGTGGAAGCGTTCCTTCATTAGAAAAGCTAGATAAACTGTTCAGATTATCCTTGTACCAAAACCATTTGGGGCACGGGAGAGACGGTGACTTGAACTTTCTTTGCACTTTGGTCAACAATACCAAACTAGGAACTCTATCTATAACTGAAAATAATTTTGGAGGGATGTTACCTAAATGCATTAGCAATTTTTCTAGCACCCTTTCTCATTTATCAATGGATCGGAACAAAATATTGGGAAGAACACCAGATGGAATTGGAAATCTCATCAACTTGGAGGCCTTGGGTGGGGGTATCACGAAATCAACTATCAGGTTCGATTCCCTTTGACATTGGAAGGCTTCAGAATCTAAAGTTATTTTTCACTAACGGTAATTTTCTCTCTGGGGCCATTCCACATTCTATTGGAAATTTAACAATGTTAATTGAACTTGCTTTAGATTTTAACAATCTTCAAGGGAGCATTCCTTCAAGTCTAAGTAACTGTCAAAGTTTGATTCGAATGAGTCTTGCTCATAACAATCTTAGTGGATCAATACCTTATGAAGTACTTGGACTCTCATCCTTGTCCATTGTACTAGATTTGTCATCGAACTATCTGACTGGTGAACTTCCTGTTGAAGTAGAAAAACTGAAAAATCTAGCTAAATTGGATATTTCTCAGAATAGGTTATTTGGTTTGCTCCCAAGCAGCCTTGGTAGCTGTGTAAGTCTTGAGTACCTGTTCGTGGATGGCAATCTGTTGAAGGGTCAATTCCTTCATCTTTTAGTTCATTGACGGGTCTTGCGGAATTTGACGTATCTGACAACAATCTTTCAGGTGGGATTCCAGAATTTCTAGTGAGCTTTAGGGTATTAAAATATTTAAATATCTCTCTCAATGATTTCGAGGGAGTGATACCAAGTGAAGGCATCTTTAAGAATGCAAGTGCTACATTTGTTGAGGGAAACAATAAGCTTTGTGGAGGCATCCCTGAGTTTAACTTATCCAGATGTAACTCAAAAACATCAGTCCAAAGATCAAACACTTCCCTTAAAATTTTAATTATTGTTTTGATTTTAGGAGTGGCTTTGATTTTCAGTTGTCTTCTCATCTTGTGGTTTAGAAAAAAGAAAGAGCCCATGCCAACAACGACAGATGCAGAAAATTCACTTTTACACTTATCGTACCAAAGCATCCTAAAGGCTACGAATGGTTTCTCTATGCAAAATTTTCTTGGTTCAGGAAGCTCTGGTTCTGTATACAGAGGAATTCTTGAAGAGAGTGGAGCAATTGTTGCAATAAAAGTGTTTAATCTTCTGAATTGTGGAGAGGAGTTTTTTGGTTGAATGTGAGGCCTTAAAGAATATTCGACATCGGAATCTTGTCAAGGTATTGACATCCGTTTCAAGTGTCGATTATCAAGGCAATGATTTTAAAGCATTGATTTATGAGTTCATGGAAAACGGAAGCTTGGAGACTGGTTACATCTATCGACATGAATGAATCAGAGACAACGAGCAAAATGAGCTTCCTTCAAAGAGTTAATGTGGCCATTGATGTTGCTCATGCACTGGATTATTTGCACAATGGTTGCGAGACATCAATCATTCATTGTGACCTCAAGCCAAGCAATATTTTACTCAATAAGGAAATGGTTGGCCATATAAGTGACTTTGGTTTATCAAAAATCCTTTCTACAGACCTTCTTAACTACTCTACTAATCAATCAAGCTCAATTGGATTGAGAGGAACAATTGGTTATGCTCCACCAGGTAAGTTCACTTTGTTCATTTACCTTGTTATCTAATCAAAGCAAAACATACAATATTAAAACAAATATTTTTTCATATATTTAAAGGATTTTCCTTTGCAATTTGTTTGCATGTAATTTGTGATGAATTAATGGTAGAATATAGCATGGGAAGCAAGTTGTCGACAAGAGGTGATGTGTATAGCTATGGCATTCTCTTGTTAGAGATGTTTACGGGAAAAAGGCCGACCGATGAAATGTTCAAAGAAGGTTTAAATCTTCACAACTTTGTTAAGGCAGCTTTGTCCGGACAAGTGATTGCGATTATAGATCCCATTCTTCTTCAAGAGATAGCTAGACACGGAACAGTCGTAGATATCACTCTCAATGGAAACAACATGGGAAATGACAGACATCTTCAATGTTTGAATTCGATATTTGAAATAGGACTCGGTTGTTCTGCTGATTCACTAGGTGAGAGGATGGATATGAGTGATGTTGTTTCCGAGCTTTGTTCAATTAAAGACAAGCTTCTTGCTGAACTTTATATGCAACTCCATCAGCAGGTATAATCAAGTCTTCTTATGTTGATGTAAACAACTTGCATTATTCTTAAAAAAATCATTCATCACATGACTTTGTTACATTAAATTTTGCAGGTACCCACGGTGCATAATATCAAAGGAATGAAGGGTTTGTGTTTGTCAGGTACACATGGACTCACTTTGGTACATTATTCTTAAGTTCATTAGTATTAACGCATAGGATCTGTAAACCGCATATGGAGGTATCGTCCATTACCGTCCTACAAAGTCATCTTTGAACCATTTTGCCATGTTGTCGGCTAGCTTATTTCCTCCCTTTCAAACCTGTGAAAAATAAACTGACCAATTCCTCTCCACTAATTCTCGTATATGTTGCATAATAGAAGGCGATATCGCCCCTAGAGAGATCTTTGTTAGCATCCGAAAAACCTCAACATTGTCCGTCTCGAGTACAACTTTTCTTACCCCTATTTTCTATGCATAGGATAACCCTTCAAATGTCCCCCAAAGTTCCGCTTCCACCACCGAAAAAATCCCGATAACTTTGGCGAAGCCAATCATCCATTCACCATTGCTGTTCCTAATGACTCCTCCACATGACGCATATCCATCACATTCATCCCTTGCCCCATCGGTATTTATCTTGGTCCATCCCTCTGGTGGGGTCTTCCACCTAGTTGTCCTGGGCACGCTTGCAGGCTCCATGTTCTGTGTTCTAGCTATCGCTTCCATGGCCCGAATTCCTTCTACTTGAAGCTGTTTGCTCCGTTCCAGCACTGAGTACCTATCCAACTTCTCCGGGTCAAAGAGGTATAGGTTCCGGTGTTTCCAAAGAGACCAAAGCAGCGAACCAAGCAGCAGATCCCATTCTTTTTCCTCTCTCGCAAAATAACTTGGTTTCAACAGATTAATCATCAACCGGTTCTTTGTATTCAAGGTTAAAAACTCGGTCATCTTCTCGGGTCGTATCATTCCCTTCCAAGCTGCTAGTGCTGGCGGGCAGGTTCGGAATAGATGATCGATTGTTTCTTCCGACGAACCGCATATTCCACACTTCGAATTTGTGTCCATATGATGTCTCACTCTCTCATTATTCGTGATAATTTTACCACAAGCAAGCAACCATAAGAAGATCTTAACCCTTTGCCTCCCACGAAACTTCGCAATTGCTTGCCATAATTTGTTCGTTGATCCTGAAGTGTTCCCCGTCCGAACCTCATATGCAGAGCAAACTGAAAATTTTCGAGTTGGGTTCCATTTCCAACCTGGATGAATATTATATGCATCTAACACCCAATGCATCTCCATTACCATCTCACAACAGGCAATCCCCACGAGTACATTGAATCCATCTGTAAATTTCCTTTGTGTGTTCATATATTTTCTTATTGTTTATGATTAAATTTTTGAGCGTGTATTTTTTTTAAAGCAAGTATGCATTTCATATAAGAAAACCCTTTTGTTGTAGTGAGGTATTGTCATTAGTGTATTTGTGCCTTGTTTTCAATGATGCGTATTATTAATCTTTAACCTTCTGTCATTACTGTCTCTTAATCTATGAAATGCTCTTTTCATCGGATGAAAAACGATGGCCAAACAAACGACGAACCAAAACCAAATCACAGAAAAAGTAAGTAAATTCATTCACAGAGTGTTTGGGAATTACAAAATATCCATTTGATGAATAAGAAACAAATAAAACCATCTAAGTTGGCATCTCAAATCGGCAAAGCGGACAGAATGACTTTCTTTCAACCACTTCTTGATGCAGTGATCGTGAAAACTATGGGAGCACGGCATCTGAGAAGCTGTTGAACCAACCTCGATTTCCTCGAGACATATAACGCAGTCTTCGCCCTTCACTCGCCTCTTTTTCCTACTTTCTTCGTATTCATCTTCCTCTTCGACTCGAACCCTTTTCAACATCTTCTTTACCGACGATTCATTCGCTGGAACCATGCCGTTGTTTCCCTGCAATGCCGATTCCACCAAAGCTCTCCTTAGCGAATCCCTTTCCCGGAAGACGTCTTAGTAACTTTGTCGATAACATTAACGATTAGAGGCAGTACCTCACGTCCCATGTTGGAATCACACTTCCCGATTGTGACAGCACGCTGGATAATCTTATCAATGACCATGCCAAATTCAAGAGATGTTGGGTCGACTGGAAATCTCCTTAACATGTCGGCAATGATGTCGTGAATCGAAGAGTTTGTTCAGGAAAATGAATCAGATTTTCAGTAAAACGATCATGTAAGCAGTCATGAAGGCAGATTACACGATCAAAGATGATGGTGACTTCGAGTTGAACGGAATGACGAATAGGGTACTTTACTGGTATTGTATGGGGTTGGTAAACGTCAAGAAGGTGCATGCAGTCAGGCAGCTGAGAGAATGAAGCCATGGAAGAGAGTAAACTTGAGTAGAAAGTTTTTTGTAGTAGGTTAAACTAATTGCGCGGTATTTATATAACTCAACAGGAGTATGTGTGTGATTAAACAGAATGGGAAAAGAAAAACTAAAGAATAGATGTATACAGTATAAGAGTATTATGCCTATCTAATATATATTATCATCTAGCAGTATAATTTTATCTGCAGAACAAGTAAACTTTATAGTTCCACTTGTATTTACACAAATCACCATCATCAAGAAGTTCCCAAATGTAAGTTTCAAGTTTGATTAACCGACTTAAGGTTTATTTATGCTTTTTGAGCGCTAGATGAAAGTGCTACCCAAGGAGCAGCGTTCATTTTCGTAACACAAACAGCTAATAAAGTCAAATAGTTTGCAACACATTTTCAGTTTTCAGTGTTATTTAGCAGGCCATTGGACAATTTTTGCTGTTCCATAGAAACCAAACCTCAAGCTATGAATCAGCACTCCGCACTCCGTTTGACAGTCTCGCATACTCTCCTATTGTATCCACGCTTTGTTCTTACTGTGGAGTCCAACATGAGATATCAATCGGCAGTCCAACTCTGCTCGACAATCTCGCGCACTCTCCTGTTGTATTCGCGCTTGTTCTCACTGAACATCCGAGCAGCTTCTGAATTTGCAGGGGAGTTTGGGTTTGGATCACAAAGCAATGACTGCATACACAAAATAAGAGAGGTTTAAAACAAGTCTGAGAGAGAGAGAGAGAGAGAGAGAGAGATCACCATAAGTGTCATACAAGTTAAATGAAATAAAATCACAGTTTTATAACCTATCTGGGTTAGAACTGATGATTCTTAACCGACATGTTTACAAGAAAAGTTACCTCTATTGCCTCCAATTGTTTATCCTGAAGCCCAATTTCTATATGTTCCATGTATACACACAACAGGTCAATGCTAAGCAATATCATACATATGATGCATGCACAGGAATAAAGATCTAGATTCTGGATCCTTCACATGAATGAATGATAGGATAAAAAAATATATGCCATTATCATCATTATAATGAAAGATCTTCCAACAAAATATCAGAAGTTGGTTGTCTATAGAGCTTCGCAAAGGTAACCAATGTTTTCGCTTCAAACATCTTCCATAAGGAAGTTTACGATATTAGGCAGGTGGTTTCAAAGCATATACTATGAAGGGTGGAATTGGAATTAAAAATTTTATTCCATGGTCCTGAGCCGCAAATGAAAGCCTGAAGAAATTATAACCTACCTGAATAGATGTCAGTATTGCAGCTACATCATAAATTGGACTCCATTGATTTTGTAGAATGTCCAACAGATGCTTCCATCAGCATATACTGACAAATTTGCAGGATAAAATAGGGATCAGATCAAGAATGGCTAAAACTGTTGATTACCAAAATATAAAAGCACAGAGATAAAACTTATATCATAATAAGAAAATAAAATATAATATAGTATCAAAAGACGAGAACCAGAAACTAAAGTTGAACATGTAAATTTGCCATGTCAACATCAGCTTCAAAGCTTCAGTTGTACGGATGCTTATGACACAAGAAGCTAGCAAATGATGTCATTGTGTTTACTAAACATTCGCTCATGTTTGCAGATTCAGAAACAAATACTACATAGTCCTCCTTA